GCAGGAGCAGCTCAGACTCCAGAGGCCATCAGGATGGTCAGGGCCATGTTTTTGGAGCTATGCCAGATTCACTACGAGGGCTGTACGATTGCCAGGTCCATTGGGATGAACCACTGGGGTGTCATCATGAGGGAGTACAACACTATCAGGGACAATGCGGTGAAGTGCCAGACCCTCATGAAGCACACCAGCATTCATCTGTTTCAAGTCAACCAGCGAACCCTTCTGCAATGGTAAGACTGAGCTCACTTTGTGTGTCAGATGTGAACAGTGAGGCTGCAGGCCCAGACATCAGCATTTAAATTTCAAACTGGCACACATAGAGAAACAAGGAACAGGCGACACAGAACATCCTGTGCACCATCCCAGGGCACGCCCATCCCAATGGTTGCTCAGAATATTCCACCACCCACTGCTGAAATTGCTTGTAAAGCCTGACCAGTCTTTCCAATGCCATCTCCGTGAGGATGCCTCCATTCAGGCTGTCACCCACTGTGGGCCTGTAGCCCCAGGACTGTACAGCCTCATTGCCTCTGCTTCTGCCACTGCAGCCTCCTCTTTGGTCACCAACAACACATTTACACTTACATTTACACCAGCAGCCAATGCCTCCATCACTGCCTCTGGTGGTGAAAAAGGTGTCATCACAGGTCAGAGTAGTAAAGGTATGGACCGAGGCAGTTGAGCAGCTGAGGCACTGTTTTTACACCACAGACTGGGACATTCTCTGCAGTCCTCATGGAGAGGACATAGACGGCCCCACACACTGTGTTTCGGATTACATAAACTTCGGTGTGGAAAATACTGTACTATCCAGGAGAGTAGTTTGGGAGTCACTCTGGGTAATTGTAATTTGCATTTCTCTTTGTTTTCAAACATCTTACAAACCAAACAAAATTGGGAAAAGAAAGGAAAATCATTGCATAATGAGCATAACCATTAGTTGCAGAGAAAAAAATTAAAGTATAATTACAGTACATTCAACCTGTGGGCAGGAGTAGGGCCCAGTTTTTTTTTTTTTTTTTTTTGGTGTGGTTTAACATTGAAAAGGAATGAGATAAGAAACTGCTGTTTTTGTTGTTTTTATTCTTGCACTGTAGAAAGATTTGTGGTGAAACTGAATTTATTTGAATATGGTCCCTTCCTTTAATTATAAAGGAAGAGTTCATTTTACTTTTATTTCCAGAAGACAGGTGCTCAAATTTAATTGGCATAAAAACGTTGGCTTTGTTATATTGTAATATGTTATATTAGTGCATTAGTCGCAGTTAATAGGTTTAGAGCTGAAATGAAAAAGAGGGAAAAAATATATTGTGCAGAATATTTCATGTGGATTGTCCTTTATCAGTTTGAAAGACTTAACAATTTTGCAGCGCTGCAGTTAATTCCAGTGAAAAGCTTTTGCATGATATTAGCTTGTTAGAATGTATCAAAGAAATCACTTTGAGGCACAGTTACCGTTTTGTCTGAAGGTTCAGTTTACTGCCCACTTTATATTGTAATGCAGCCTACCTCCTATGTCAAGGACACGGTGTATTTCATGATAAAATAAATCCCCTGGTCTCCGTGTAAGATTCTGGGCTTACAAGAAACATTTAAAGACCCAGCATTAAAATGTCAAATTCCGGCTATGAGTGAATTGTCCTGTTCAGGTAAATCCCCACATATTTTCTAAATAAATATTTTCCTAAGTAGATGTTTTTATTCTATCTAAATAAACTCATCTAGTCAGTGCTAAACTTTCAGGAAATTGATTTGGAGAGTCCAAAATGATAAATGCTAACATAGCTTGCTATCTGAGTAGTAGACGGTGTTCAACTTCATGTCTGTCCTGTAATTAAAAAAATTTAAACAAAAACTAAGGTATTTTTGGCTCTAGTCATTGTATCCCACCCAACTCCTGGCATGGTGACGAACAAGCTTGAAGTGAAACGCTCGACTGTCTATTTCTTGAGCTTTGAACATCAATAGCTGGAAATCCTGTGAGCCACTGTATGTTTTTGGTCCTTTTTAAAGTTGTCTGACTTCCAACACAGGCTGCAGTTCCACCAGCAAATGGATGAGAAAGTAAAGGGGTAGACATTCTGTAAAATGCCACACAAAGAACTTTGCTGGAAAAATGACCACAAACCTCTTCTTTCTTATCTTTGGCTGTTTGGGCCGGGTCACCACCACGCAGTCATTTCTCTCAACCCATCTAGTGTGAAGGTACAGCCTTTCTTTTAACAACTGTTTGATTCCTACCAAAGTCAACATGTGGGACAATGAGCTACCCTAGACCTGTAATCATGACTGTCTTTGTATTTGGTGGAAATGAAATTTACTGAAGTGCAGTACAGTACAGTACAGTTTTGTTGTTTTATATTTTCTCCTACATAGTTTTATTTCAGAAGCAAACATACTGTTTTTTCAGAATCGGATGAATAAAACAAAATATAGTATAATCATGAGTCTCAGTCCTGGTGTGAAGTTAATAAGCTTCCCTGAAATATGTCAAGAGTAAAATTAGTTCCACTGTTACCAGCTGTCACATTAAAGTACCCATGGCATGCTCATTTCTAGCTATCTCTAGATTAGCTACGCACCCATCATATCTCCAAGTAGTCTGAAATAGAGCGATAAAGCCTGACATCACAAGATGAGCTGCCTCGTGAAAATTAACGTGCACAGCTGTCGTTGCCAGTCAGGACAACGCATATACAAAAAACACTGACAAATAAGCTACGTTTTCGACAATGCGTCAAATACTACCTGTTCGAGGCAGAATATGAAAGTGGACAGCACGACGAACCGCAACAGCAGTAATTTGAATTTCTCCTCCAAAAGTAATAATGCAGACATAGTAACTTCTGCAGCTTTTAAAACAATTCTCTACAGAAACAACACATTTAGATGTCTGTGTTTTCTATATTGACACTTTACAACTGTTCCAGATACACTTTGTATAAATTTGACCTTGTTGTTGACCCGTGTTTAATAATATTCACACTTTTAACTGTTTTATGGATTTTAGGTAAACAGTTGATGGGAAATGTTGTATTGCTACACAGCAATGTTTTGTCATGTTGGTTACATTTTAAAATGTTCCCAGGACACACTGATCTTTACAAATGTTCTACTTCAATGCACAGAATGAAAACAAGTGCTTCTTGTAGCTGCAGATCAGATCTTGTTCAGAAGCAATTCTGTAGTATTGTTTAAGGACACTGTATCGCCCACCTTCTACTGAGCCTCAGTTGGACAGCCCGCCTGTGGTATCCTGTGAAATGTCTCTTGCAGTACTCGTTGTGTACTCCATGGTGCCCTGAAGCTGGAGACTGTTCCCTCGCTGCTCAGCTCATGTTATGCGTGTCCTGATGTCACTTTCTGTGCTGAAGCTGCAGACACGCACGGTATGTCTCTGATCAGCAGAACCGCTGCTTTGCTCTTCATTAATCTGGCCCTAGAGCGAACTTTGGGCATTCTTGTGCTTTTTAAGGCGGGCCCTGCAGTGGCTGTGTGTACACTCGCATTTCAAATCAAAGGAAGACCAGGCAGTTTACTTTAAACACGTAAAAGGAAATATATATTTTTTAAAAATGAAATAACAAAAAAACATTTCATACAGAAGAGCTGCTTTTCTCTTTTGCAGAGGTAATTTACACAGAATTTGAAATGAAAATACTTTACATGATGTGGCACCACAGCAACCACACCACAGCCTGGTAAATTATTTTTGTAGTTTGGTTTTTTTGGACCCTTCAACTGATGTGCCTTCATTAGTGAGTGGCTGGTGGTGGGGGGGATGTCGTGACACGTCCGGTAAAGTATGAAGAGGTTATGTAACATACTGAGCTTCTTTTAAGGGTTAATATACACTGGCTCTTGGTACTTCACTCGTATGATGTACGCACCATTGACACATTTACGCACAAAATGTTTTTTTTTTCTCCCTCAAAACAAGAACACTCCTTATATTTTCAAAGACAACAGTTATAAGTTCCAAAGTGGTGGCTCTAGGACTGACTTTATCTCACCTACATGAGGCCCTCCCCTTCCACACCTACATCCTATGAACACTTTAATTTTAGGAAGTGTGGCTCACTGGGCGTGAGAAAAGAAATGTCGTGGCGGTCTGCCTGGCAGAAACCGGGGTGTGCATAGGTGTTGCTGACGTCTCCCCCAAGGCTCTGGTAAGGCAGTTTATTTCTCCTTTCCATTTTTTGTTTTCCAGTTGAGGAGCTGTAGTCAGTGGTGGATGTCATTGCTTTTTCGTAGACGATTGCTGCCCTAGAATAAAATTACAGGAGCACTGACCAGTGACTGTATGGAGGGAGAGGGGAAAAGACAGCCAGACAGAGTGTGTGAGACAAAAAAAAATGCAGTACCTGTTTTCTTCATTGTCCATTTTGTGCAAACTGAGATGTAAACAAAGACCATCAGAGGTTGGGAAGGGAAGCAGGGTACAGACCGGGATGCAAGGATGTAGTGTGCTCCTTCAACAAACTGACAGGCACAGAGGGCCAGTGACAGAAATAAAAGGGGACAGTTTTCTGTGCTTTTTGCTTCGCTGCAACCTGCAGCCGGAGCTGAGGGAGTTATTTGTTGCCGCTATAGCGGTTTTTAATGTGCTTCAGAGTTCGTTCGGCCTGTTTGTTACAGGCTGAGGAAATTAGGGGATGTTGGAGAGGAGGACACGGAGTACCACAAGAAGTGCCTTTAAAAAAGGTCAACACACACACAGGCACCCACATAGATTGCTTTATGGTCATGCTCACTATTGCCTTTCCAGTATTACTGCCAATCCATCAGTTAGAAAAGAAAAGTACAAAATATCTACCGCACTGCCCCTCTTCTCCACACCCTTCAGCCAAATGAGGACAGAACCATATTCACTTCGTTTTTTTAATCATTTCTCTATATATATTTATATGTATATATGTACACCACAGTATGCCTGTGAGGCTACTGAGCAAACTGGCTTGGGGCAGGACAAAGTCTTTGTAGTGAGATGTTTGTCCTTTTTTTTTTTTTTTTCATTTCATTCTTTTTCAACGGCCGTTTATCTACAGAAATGTGACTGATGAGACGTGATTCGAGGGGGTTTGATCGTAGTTTAACATCCGTGTTGAGTCAGGGACCCAACACTGCACGTCAGTAGACCCAGGAGACAGGGACCCACTGAGGAGTGGTGGACACCAGGTCTACAGCCTCCTCCAGCAGGCGGATAGTGTCGTCGATCTCGTTGTTGATGATGGTCTGGTCAAAGTAGTGGGCATAGGTCCTCTGTAGCATCTCTGATTCCTTCTGGAGCCGCTGAAGAGAGTCATCCTGAGTGGTGGGATGGAGGAAAAAGAGAGGGAATTGGTGTATGTTTGTATATGTGATGTCTTCATTTGTGAGCCGCTTCTGCAGGTTCATACTTTATATATACGCATTCAGATTTAGGGCTGTGTGCTTTTACATTAAAGTTGTGATACAAAGCAATTTTAAAATGATAAAAGCTGCATTTAATAATTGTAATGATCTGTACCATCTTACAGTGGGGGAGACTACAGTCAAGATTTTATTTGAATATGGTCAGGTTTCGCTATTTATGAGTTACCCAAAATGCAGAAGCCTATATTAAGGAAAGCAACTACAGATCATAAACGGCAGAGAGTACAGTCTGTAATTTAACTCATTAACTCATCTAGTTTAATACTACATATGGAAATAACTGCAATGAGCACATCCCCCATACGGTCTAGAATATAGAAGGTTACAGAAGATTATTGGAGGAAATCCAAAGCAGGAAGTGGCTGTGGTGGGACTAAGCTACCAGAACTACTACCAGAGGCCACACGGGCCTTTCTACAGTCTTCACACACAAGCTAAGCTCACACTGCTTCATCGGTACTTACAGGCAGTTTCCTGCACCACTTTGGAACCTTCAGTGCAAATGAAAACGGGCATGCCAAAGAAAACACAAACATGCTTCAAGGAAACGGGACGACAGAAATGAAGGCAGTTTTCACACTGGCTTTGTTTGTTTTGATAATCGCTGAGGTTTCACGGTCTTCTTGCCAACAGAGCAAGTTTGGTGAAAGACTGAGGTGACATGAATGAATTTAAACCAAAATTCCAGTGTGACTGTGCCTGAGGTTCGGCCTGTGTGAGAGATAGTGGAGATGGCTTTATTTGCAGTCCAGCCTGAGGCGAGAAAGTATCGGGGATTGTACCTCCGTCATGCCAGGGGTCATGGTGGGAGCTGCGATGAAGACGACATATGGAGCAAACTCAGCTGTCCTGAGGATTTTTAGAGCCTGGTGAGAGAGGGACAGAAATGTTTAGCTCACTTCCCTTGGTCACGTTGTGTTAATACAATAGCAGAAAGGAAATTTCACCTGGAGGTGTAGCTCATAAATAGACTTCTGCAATACGGGAAGCTACTTTGACAAAATAACAGATTTTTTCAAAAAAAATGACTATTTCCTATTACAGTAATAATGACAGTATTATGGTCATATTAGTGAAACCTCCGATAGATGGAGCCATACAAATCACTGGTTACCTGTGGCTCCACGTCCAGGATGGCGACCATTCCCTGTGTGTGGATCTGCCTGATCGTTTCCAGCCTGGTCCCGTACATGGCGTCCTCGTGGCTGCCGTACTCCAAGTAGTCGTTGTTGCTGATGTCCTGCATCATCTGGTCGTGAGAGACGAAGTAGTAGTTCTTTCCGTTCTCCTCATCCTTCTTAGGAGGACGAGTTGTGTCTGAGTGGAGAGATGGACACAGACATGTTGCTTATGTTTGCCGTGGATCCCATATGGTTTCACTTTGCACCTGACTGACACAGTAGCTAATCTGTGAGTTATGTTAACGTGACTTTATGCCTCTTGTTGTGATATGATTTCAGTGTGTGTGCTTACGAGGGATGGGGTAGGCGAAGCGGTCAGGATGTTTGGTAATGAGCGTGTTCTTGATGTGCCTCCTACCGACTCCATGTGCGCCTGAATGACAGGAGACAGTTACATTAAACAAGTGGGGCAATCTGTTGGAACAGAAACAGAGGTGCCGACAAAGCTGCTGGAAAAAAAACTGTTTTTTCTCCTAATGTTAAACAACGCCAATCAATCCTGACAAATCCCGTTATAAAGAGGAGTGAGAAAGTGAAAGATAAAGGCACTCTCAGCCCACAAGTTCAATAACAAGCGATAGCTTTAGTTCCAAGAGCTCACACACACACACACACACACACACACACACGAGCTAAAAGATAGTTTGAACACCACCATCAGCCTAGATTCTTCCTGGAACACAATTTTGAATCTTGTTTTACAGTTAACCAAGTGGACTGCCAACATAGTAAAGCAATACTACAGTGACTATTGAAAGCTTGTAGTTCCATAATCTCTTGTTCATCACTCTTGTGATCCCCACTACTGAGAACTTCAGAGAACAGGTTTGACAACAGGAAAAAATATCAAACCTTCTGTACAGACTTGAACATGTTATTGGGATTAAAGGAACTGCGCTAAGTTGGTTCAAATCTTATTTATCAGAAAGATTTCAATTTGTTCATGTTAATGATGAATGTTCCACACAAACTGAAGTTAGTCACGGCGTTCCACAGGGCTCTGTGTTAGGTCCAATTCTCTTCACTTTATACATGCTCCCTTTAGGCAATATTATCAGGAAGCACAGCATAAATTGCCATTGATATGCATCTGATACTCAGTTATATTTATCTATGAAGCCAAATGAATCAGGTCAGCTGGTCAAACTTCAAGCATGTCTTAAAGACATAAAGGCCTGGATGACCTGCAACTTCTTACTTCTAAACTCTGACAAAAGTGAAGTTATTGTGCTTGGGCCTGAAAACCTTAGAAATCTGCTGTCTAATCATATAGTTACTTTAGATGACATAGCTCTTGCCTCCAGTACTACTGTGAGGAACCTTGGAGTCATCTTTGATCAGAATATGTCCTTTAAATCACACATAAATCAAATCTCTAGAACTGCCTTCCTTCACCTGCGCAATATTGCAAAAATCAAGAGCAGCCTGTCTCAAACTGATGCTGAAAAACTGGGCCATGCATTTGTTACTTCCAGGCTGGACTACTGTAACTCTTTACTATCAGGATGTCCCAATAATTCCCTAAAAAGCCTCCAGTTAATCCAAAATGCTGCAGCCAGAGTACTGACAGGAACTAGCAAGAGAGATCATATCTCTCCCATATTAGCTTCTCTCCACTGGCTCCCTGTAAAAGTCAGAATAGAATTTAAAATCCTTCTCCTAACATACAAAGCCCTTAATAACAAGGCTCCATTGTATCATAAAGACCTCGTAGAGCCTTATCATCCTAACAAAGCACTTCCTAAGTACCTTCCCAAAGTGAGTAGCAACATGTCTGTACAGATTCTTAGTCATCCAGGTCATGGTAAGCTGAAAAAACGTAGAAAAAATCAACTGGTAGGTAGAAGATGTTTCATGTTCATTTTTGTCCAAATAGAACACCCCTCACTAAATGAGGGTGGTGGACTAAGACACAACTTTTCACCCATCTACAACTCTGTTTTGAGATCTCTGCCCAAACATGCCCACCAGGACAACAGGCGTCGGTCCACAGGTGAGGGTTCAAAGACAGGTAACGACGCTCACCAAAACCGGACCCTAATGATTGAGTTGTTAGAGGACATTGTGGGCCACCAAAGGACTGGAACACCCAGGGTGATAAATACCTCCTGCTCACCACCAGTTGGACAGGGGGTCTGTCGGAGGTTTCTTCCGTTAAAGGGAGTTTTTCCTCCCCACTGTCGCCAAGTGCTTGCTCAAGGGGGGTTTGTTGGGTTTTCCCTATGTAATAATATTGATAACAGTAAGGTCTAGACCTTACTTTGTAAAGTGTCCTGAGATGACTTTTGTTGTGATTTGGCGCTATACAAATAAAATTTGATTTGATTTGATTATAAGAGTTTTTAAGTAAATGGCTTGCTCGGTGGTGGTGTGATAAACACAACTCTGAAAACACAAAGCAAAGATTGTAACTTTTGCCGCTGACTTACCAAGCAAAACCAGTGTTTTCCTTTTGAATGATGGCAATTTGACCACTTCCTCATATGTCACCAGGTCTAGTTGATCGAACACTGCAGCACAGAGGAGAACCATTAGATCAACATATGTATGTTTGTCTGTGACCATGTGTGTGACTATGTATGTGACCAAGTTACTCACATGCAGCCATGTCATTGGGTAAGAGACAGCGTGAAACATGGATAAAGGTTAGGAGGGTTAATTTAAAAAAGCACCATAAAGTCATGCGATTTCAAAACCTGAAGTTGTTAAGTGCAACACAATCTTTGAAAGCACAGCCACAGCCGAGGCAGCAGAGGTCCATCAGGGAAAACAACACACAGTTACACGTCTGATGTTACAAAGGTGCAACTAGTTTTCATCTTCCATGCCACAAAACTCTTGCATGTTTAATGAGCTATTACATTAAAAGCTGGTGGGGTTACCTGCATTGTGCTTGGCCAGGTACTTGTCCTTGTACTGTTTCTTCTTCTTGCCAAACCAGGTACAACTGGCCTGCTGTTCCTGTTTGGTCTTCTCCATTGCTATACATGCCACACGCCTGACACGAACACAGGTACTGTTAAGTTACATGGGCTTGTCTGGGTTATGGGTGAAGCATCAGAGTTGTACAGCTGAGCATTGGAATGAGGCTATTCCTGAACTCCTGTAGTATATCGGTAACATGTCTGTCACATCTGCTTAAAGTACCAGGATCAAATCCTGACGGGAGTGTGTGGTTTCCAGTACTGTCTCGACCAGTATCACAGAGACTAGCCAGTCATAGCCAAAGCCTGACAGCACGTTATGTTCAATATGATAATATATACAGTGGGGCAAATAAGTATTTGATACACCACCGATTTTTCAAGTTTTCCCACTTATACTACAGAGAATGGACTGTTCTGTAATTTTCATCGTAGGTACACCTCAACTGTGAGAAACAGAATCTACAAAAAAATTCCAGAAAATCACATTGTTAGACTTTTAAATAATTTATTTCCATTTTATTACATGAAATAAGTATTTGATACAATAGAAAAATAGAACTTAATATTTGGTACCGAAACCTTTGTTTACAATTACAGAGGTCAGACGTTTCCTGTAGTTGTTGACCAGGTTTGCACACACTGCAGCAGGGATTTTGGCCCACTCCTCCATACAGGTCTTCTCCAGATCTTTCAGGTTTTGGGGCTGTCGCTGGGCATCACAGAGTTTCAGCTCCCTCCATAGAGTTTCTATTGGGTTCAGGTCTGGAGACTGGCTAGGCCACTCCAGG